CTTAATTTGACAATTTTATATAAAATCTAAACTGAATGATAATTCACCTTTTACCACACTTCTTTCATATCCTGGAACCACCATTATTTCATCTCCAACCTGAATTGAACCTCCTTCTATTCTACCAGCTACCATAACACCACTAGAGTTTCCCATACCTCCTTTAAAAAAGTCGGAAACGGAAAGTCTAAATGGTTTCTCTAGAAGACGTACAGGAGGTTCAAAAAGATCTATTAAAGAATATATATATATATTATAAGATGCGTTAATACCAACATACAGTAAAATATCAAATTATTCAGACCTATTTGCTGGACCAACGTTTTTCCGTCATACCAGTCTAAAGTGTTAGGCGATCTTTCTACTAAGTTTTCACCAGTTAATCCGCTGCACGGAACGTAAAAAACCTTATCTTTTTTGAAATTAGTTGAACTTAAAAAGTTGCTCAATTTGGTTACTATTTCGTCGTATCGGGCTCGCGACCAACCAACCTATTAATTATTGGAGATGAATGTGCATACGAAGAACCTCTTGAAATGTCAACTACAATAAACCCACCACATCTAATTTATTAATAGCCACAACGAGTTGTTGTACTCCCAAACTCCTAACTAATAAGGCATGTTCCTTCGTTTGACCATTTGCCTCAAATCCTGCTTCAAACTCTCCGGTTGTAGCGTCGACCACAAGAATAGCAACGTCTGCCTAAGCAAATGAAGAAATATAAAGCTTTATCATTGTTTGCAAGGCAGAAATAGATTTAAATAATTTCTTAAATACTTGAGCTGCTCCTGAAATCATATTAGGTATAAAATCCTTATGTCCAGGAGCATCCAATAAAGTGAACCGCCGATTTTCTGTCTCAAATTTAGTGATGGCAATATCCATAGTTATACCCCTAATAAATTTCCATAATAAATTTGATTAAACAATCTATATAGTAATAATAAATAAGTAAAATTGACTACCTTCTGCGCTCCTCATCAGTTTCGTCAAGAACCCATGCATAAGAAAAAGATGATTTTCCAATTCTTGAGGATTCTCTTTCATAACCCTTCATAGTTTTCTCATTAACTTCCCCAAGTAAGTATAGTAAGTGACCCATAAGAGTACTCTTCCCAGCATCGACGTGACCTTTTAATGTAATATCAAAATCAAATCTTATTTAAACATCTTTGAATGCTTGATATTAGATCAAATAATAAGTTCTACCAATGACCACCAAATTTAAGGGCAATTTTTCAGCAGTACGTTTCTTATATTCAGTGACAATATCAATGCGTTTTGTCGACTTATTAGAATTTGCCTTAGAAGCTCTAGGTAAATTATTAGGTTGTAATCGAGGCGCTGAAGACTCTTTGTTCGCGACAGTAGTAGTGACCTCGGATGATACTTTCGATGACTCTATTGGATCAACCAATTGAAGAGCATCCATATCGATTCGTAACCCCAGATCTTCTTTGTCTTCTATTATTTCATCGGTCACATCCTTTCGTAAGGATTTTTGAGAAGCTGATAATGTACCTGTTTTTGTCGCAGCTTGTTTATTTTAAATAGTCACAAATTGTTACAGAAGTAATTATTAAAGATGTCAAAAAGAGAATTAAAGGCTACCTTTTAGAGCACCAGGGCTTGGCTCTTTAAAAGAAAAAATTTTCTCATTTAAATCTGCTGAATAAAGTTCAAATGAAAGGTTATTAGAAAAGAGGCATGTAGGCTGAAGGTCCGCAAACAGCTCAATGGCGAAAATGGATGGTGGCGCGATTAGGGAATTATTAAAGGCTTGGACTTGTGACTGGAATAAATTTTCTTGATCTTTCTGAATAGAAGGATAATTGGGTTTTCGACTTGATTGGTTATGTGAAATAGATCTGGATGCTGTTTTAGTTTGTTCTTGCAATAACGTTTTTGCATTTGAATCTAAATTTGAAGTTTCCGAACTTAATGAAATTGATGGTTCAAAATGAATTTCTGGTTTCCGATGATCAAGGTTGAGCGTCGAATCTTTCGATAAATTCGAATTCAATGGTAGAGGAGACAGATTAAGGGATTGCCCTACTTTTGAAGAAGTGGTTTGTGATGACGTAATAGATTTCCCTCGACTTGATAATGCAAGGCTTGATAAAGGTACTCGACTGGTTGATTGAGATAAGGACTTCTGCGCTAATGTCAGAAGGGATGAACTTTGACTCTGCGATGTATAAGTTGATGATAAAGGTGATTTTTCGGTTTTTTTTGATTCTTGTTTTTTCATTGCATCGGCGGAAAATGATGTTAGTGGTCGTCTCGAAGTTGTTCTAACACTAGATCGAGCCAAAGATAACAATGATTTTCCTGAATCCTGAATTCCAATATTAGCACTCAAAGATAACTTCGTGTTCAATAAATTTTCTTCTGATGAAGGGCCGTCAGATGCCAATTTTCTTCTCAAATTAGAAAATCCAGGTTGAGAAGAATTCTGTTCCTCTGAATCTGCACCACCCAATAATCCCCCACTATGGATGTTACTTGTATTTAATCTGACTATGGTAGTCTCTTCCGATATGACGTTTACAAAATTACTCCACCAAACTTTGTGCCCGTACCAAATGTCTTTCTGTGTTATGCAGTTGGCATTCATGTAACCGGTTGATGTCGCAACATTTTTGTTTAGTGAAGAATCATGAACTTTAACGTCTGCGCCAATACTTATAGGACGAAGAAATCCGTCATTCAAGGAATGATCATTATGATCTGCTCTTGAATCTGTAATTTTAGGAAAATATCAAGCCGAGTAGATTCTCGGTTAATGGCATCAGAAAAAATTCAAAATTCCTTATTTTCTTAAAGTTTAATCATAATATAGCTGCTAGTAACCAAATTACCTTTGAAATTATTATTTATTACCTGAACCCTTTACCCATCTAGCCGCCATCCATTTATTTTATAATTTCAGAATAATTTAATAATAAAATACCTTTATTTGAAGCAGCTTCCCTTCTTCGTTTTTGTGCCTGATGCTTTTCTATAAATTACGATATTTTTAGTGGAATTAAAAAATATATATCACCAGCATTAAATCCAATAATCATTTACCTAGTAAGTGAACAATAGTTTCCTCGGTATCGAAATAATAGTCCCACAAGGTGTCTTCAATTTCTTTATCTGTAATATTTTCTTGCTGACCGATAATTGCTCTAACTTTTCTCTTTCCCTCTCTCATTTGAACTATAGTGAGAAAAGTATGAATTATATTTCAATAAATCGAATTTCAGTGACCAGCAAAATGATTTACTTAGCTTACCCTTTTGTTCTTCTGTCATGGTATCCCTATCTAATGGTGATATAAAATTAATGATTTGCATACAGAAAAGATAAAAAATTTCACTTACCGTCATTTTCTTCATAGTAATATTCAATATCTGTGACACTAACTGGAATTAGTTATGGGAGGTAGAAAGGTTTCATACATTTACTGCGTAGAAGCATACCT